TCACTTATTTATTTTATATCATTCCTTCCTTCCCAAGATAAATATTGTTTAGCCTATTTTTATGCATCATTTAATTAACAAATTAAATGTTCTTTTAGTCTACTTTTTATGAATCATTTAATTAATGTAGTATACAAGTTTATATTATACTTCATTTTATTTAAATTATTTTATCTAATTGATTATGTTTCATATTTTGTCATAAATATTTTTACATTTTTACCTCACTCAAGTATATTTTTTGCTCCAACTCTAATTATTGTTTAACCTATCAAAAATATTCTATTGTAATTTATAATATATTTGTATTTTAACCTTATTATGACTATTTGATATTTCGTAATTGATATTTCTAACCGTCATTTAAACTTCGCCCCCGCTCAAGTATTTTTCTGGCTCCGTCCCTGTATGTGTGTGTAGAGATGTTTTGATGGAAGTAAATAATACACTATTATACAAAATACTTATTGAAGGTTAAAGTAGTTTAGTTGGTAATAAACATTGTATAATTATAAGTGGTTTAGCGATCAAAACTTGTTGGCTACACTCTAATTATAAATTGATTAATTAATTGATACAAAATATGTTTTGTAATTCAACTATGAAAATTATTTGAAAAGAAAATTAACTTTTTATAAACGAGTTAATACTCAATTTAGTCATTGACTATAGTTTTTTTGTTTTTTTTTTTTGTTTTTTTTTTTTTTGGTCTAAACAACTTTTTGTGCTTAATTAGATCCCCGACTTTGATGTTTTTACTCAAATGAGTCATCTGTTAAGATAGCTTAGTAATTTCGCCTCTATTAATACTCAATTTAGTTATCAACTATAGTAATTTTACTCAATTTAATCCTTAATTATAGTGATTTTTCTCAATTTAGTCTTTGATTCTAACAGTCAAGGACTCAATTGAGTGAAACCATTGAAGTCGAAGACCTAGTTAAGCACAAAAAGTCGTTTAGGACTAAATCGAGAAAAACCATTATAGTCAAAGACTAAATTGGATGTTAACTCTTTTTATAAACTGTGTAGTAAATGTAGTCTAAATATTTTAATTGTATGTCATCATATTCAAATTAATCTAGAAATATATAGAGCAGCTCTAATCAAAATAAAAAGTATTTATGAATATCATATTTTATCATAAATATTTTTATTGCGTTTTGAAGTTGTTTAACAATATTTTTGAATTTTCCCCCTTTCATGCTTGCACAAAATTCCAAGTCAAATGAATCTCTACTATTTTGTCTTCATAGACTCAACATAAGTAATTCATTAGTGTTTGACGTATGCGACTGCAAACCTCATTAGAGCCATTAGAAGTTTATTTTATTTTATTTTATTTTATTTTATTTTATTTTTTTTAATTTATTCTTTATTGTTTTCATTTTTAGAATAGTAAAACATTTGTGTGCTGGTTTTTAATTAATGTGGGGTGAGAGTTTTTTGTGGGTTTATTTTATTGCAAGTATGAATTTTTTATGGGGTCCAAGTAAAAAGAGAAAAGGCGAAATGGATCGTACTGGGCGCGTAATTACAAGCTTTTTATTTTTTATTTTTAAATTTTTTTGTCAAATTCCTTTATATATATATTTTTTTTTTCTCCCTCATTTATGTCCTAGTTGGTACCTCAAAAATCACAAAACATCCATTAAAAATTACTGTTTTCTATCTGGAATAGGTTTTTTTTTTTTTTTTTTTTTTTTTTTTTTTTTTGGATTAGTAGTGACTCTATTACAATGTAGTATCTGCCCATACATACTTTCTCAACTTATTGAAGCACAAAGAGTCAATGTCTCACTGGGATTTAAACTTGTAACCTCCCATTTGGGAGAGCCACAGAGGTGCCATTGAACTACAAGCTACTTGGCTTCATCTGGAATAGCTAAGAGAGGCAAATTATACCATAGACCCTTCAGCTTGCATTGTACTCTGATCTAAAATGACATTTAAATTATAGACGTGTAATTAACGTATTATGTACCTTTAATTAACATATTATGTACGTGTATATAAAATGAAGATACATAATATATTAATTGTAGTATGTACATATACTTTAGGGAAAATAACCCTTCTTCCCCCTAAATTATATACTTATAGCACTTTTTCCCCATTAATTATTAATGTATTGACATTAGCCCCCTCAATTATTCTAAAAGTGTTGATTTTTCCTCTCTGATATGTTAAATGGACATCTTTACCTTTAAAATAAATATTTCATTATTTTTCTTATCTAATAAATTATTACTTATATGTGGGGATGACCACAGTTCGGTTCAAACCGAACCAGACACTATACCAACGAAACCGAAAGGTTCCAGTTACAGTTTAGAATCGAAACCCAACATTTGAGCTTCAGTTTATTAAAATCGCAAACCGAAACTGTCAGTTTTGGTTCCGAACCAAAAAACTAAAATACATTAATTGTTGAATTTAGAATATTTTATAAATAAAAAATAGAATTAAAAAAAGTTCGAACCAGCAGTTCAAAACCGGATCCAGAACTGTGAATCGACGATTCAAAATCAGAACTAAATTTCGATCATATCTACTTATATGTGAATTCAGAATAAATACGAAAAAGAACATACACCCTTTGTAAATATTATAATTCTAATTTTAAGCTAATGTTAGTGGTTGTTTTGATTTCAAACAGCTGGTTCACGGTTTAGGATCCAATTCTTCCGGTTCGCGATTTTAATAAACCGAAACACAAATATTGGGTTCCGGTTCTGAATCATAACTGGAACTTTTCGATTCGGTTGCTATAGTGTCCAGTTCACTTCGAAGAATTGTGGTCATCCCAACATATAAGAAATAATTTGTTGGAGAAGAAAAATAAATGAAATAATTATTTTAATGGTAAAAATGTCCATTTAATATATCAGGTAAAAAATATCACTTTCAGAATAATTGAGGGGTCTAATGTGGATACATGAATAATTCAGGAAAAAAAAATTTCTATAAGCATATAATTTAGCGGAAAAAATGTCAGTTTTTTCATAATTTATTAATTGAAGGTACATAATATCTTAATTAAATTGTAATATGTACATAATTTATTAACTGAATGTATATAATATATCACTATAAGTAACATAATATTAATTATAATAGATACATAATTTATTAAGTGAATATACATAATATGTTAATTGCATATACAAAATTTGAATGCCATTTTTAACTAGTCACAGACTCATAGTATAACAATGGGTGAAGAGAACAATGGGCTCTATTGCCTTTGACCCTTGAGTTGAGCAAGAGTGCAGGAATCTAGCTAATTTTCCTTCACCAAATAAATAAGGCAAATTCTCTTATGAGACAGTCTCAAAAATCTCAATCAGTGAGGCAAATTATATCAAGAGAATTTGAATGTTATGGTATATAAATTTAGTAATATTATTTCATACAAATTATTTATATTTATACTATAAAGTATAATATATAAGACTTAAAGTGTTGATTATATCTGTAATTTTACTATGTAATGGCATTTTATTTCTTGCAGTTTGGTTGTTATAGTTTTTTTATAAAGTACTACATTTATGTTATAAAGTATTATGTACAAGGCATAATTAAGTATGGATGATATCTGTAATTTTGTTATTTATTACTTTCTTCCATGTGTGTATTACATTTATGTTGTAAAGTGTGTATTACATTTATGTTATAATTTATTATATATAATGCTTAAATTATTGATTATATATGCAATTTCTATTGCAGAGTACTACATTTATGGTATAAAGTATTATATATACGGTTTAAAGTATTGATAATATCTGCAATTCTATTATGCTATTACCACTAGTACAGAAACAGTCATTCGCGTCCAAAGTTAAGGCTAATTCGCGTCCAAAGTAGCTAGGACGCAGATGTCGGGGACGCTGATTGTATAAACAATTCGCGTCCAAAGTAGCTTTGGACGCGAAAAATGATAATTTGCGTCCAAAGTTTAAGAACTTTGGACGCGTATAGTATTTTTAATTAAAAAAATAAACACTATACGCGTCTAATGTTTATGAACTTTGGACGCGTAAAGTTAATAATTTTTTAAAAAATACAATACGCGTCCAAAGTTCTTCAACTTTCGACGCCTATAGTCATTCTATAAAAAAAATTATTTATTTAATAAAACTATCAATATTTTCCTGTACATTCTAGGATAACTATCAACAAATAATATACTTCAACATTAATCAATTTACAACACACCAATTCAAAAATTTCAATTCTAACATCTCTAACTAGGCAGCTTTCCCCTTTCTTTTGAATACGTGTTCGATTCATATCCAATTTTTAATCCAACTTATAATAACAAACTATTAAAAGCTTCCTTCATCTACATACCCAACAAAACTAGACAAATATATGGGGGGGGGGGGGTAGGGCATCCTTACTTTCAGTTGCAAACCTCCCATCCCCAATCCAAGTGGTTCAGGTAATGAACTACTAGAGCCATCAATTCTCTGAGAGCTGCCTGCCAAACTGCTTGAAGCCCCTTCTGGTATTTGCTCAGATTGGACTTGAATCTGACAATAATTACTAATTAGTTAATCAGTCCTGGTAATTAGTTAATTTACTAACTAGGTGAAAGTTAATTCTTTACAAAATATATGATGAACAGAGGAAAGTAGCAGCATGTGCACATTATGATTATTGTAGTTTGACAACAGAAAGACAGAAAGAACACACTGAGCAGAATCATGAAAGAATCCAGTGTAAAAGCTTTACAAAAAGGTGGCACACTAGGATCAAAATGTCTTACAGATAGAGCTGAAACAACATGGTTGCCAACTAGATGCTCCATAAGTCACAAAACAGTGCTCAATGCCAAAGGAGTTGGAAGACCACGAGCATTTGTAGGCAACTCTACTCTTGAAGAATCAATAGGTGATGGGTTTTGTAGATTATCTGGAGTACAAAGAAAAGGAAAGGCTTGTCAGCTTCTCAGGAAGCTATTTCAGAATATCAAAGTAAGAGAAGCAAACTGAGAAAATTACCATTCTGTGATAACACAAGCTCCATGCGCTTTATAAATTCAACCAGTGTGTGAAAAGAATCAGGTATGGGCTAAAACAAAAGAGAGAACATGTAAGCATATCAGTAACATCATACACCAAAAAATAATGAAACACAACTTTTTTTCCTACCAAGTTAAGTGAAGGAACTGGAATTGTTGCGCCAAGCGGTATGTGCATGGCTTGAGGTAAAGATTGACCAGGCAGTTGATTTCCAGCCTGATTTCGAGCACCAGGATTATTTTGGATGCCTTCTGCTGCTTCATTTCCTTGTGAAGCAAAAGTGGGAGCAGTAACCTGTTCATAAACCATAAAACCAACTGAACTCATATACCCACATACTAATATGGGCATATATTTACATCACTAGCAATCTAGTAACTGTAAAACAATGGGAGAAAAACAATAACCTGCACGCCAGGATGTTGGCCACCAATCTGGCTCCCAATTCCAACAGAGTTTAAAACTGCCCCAATAACCTAAAAGGCAATGGAATAATGAAATGTTTTTTTCTCAATAGATAAAAACACACAGGCAAAAGTAGAAAATGGAAAGAAAATTATACTGCACACCCGACACCCAGTGTTTTATTTTTTTTTTAAAAAAAGAAGGGAAAATGACACTTTTCCCCCCTGTGTTATATGCTTATAGCACTTTTTCTCCCTGAGTTATTCATGCATTCACATTTGCCCCCTCAATTATTATAGAAGTGGCAGTTTTTTCCCCTGATAATATTAAATGGACATTTCTACCCTTAAAACAAATATTTTATTTATTTCTCTTCTTCAACAAATTATTGCTTATACGTAGGGATGACCACGGTTCGGTTCGAACTGAACCAAACACTATAGCAATCAAATTAAAAAATTTCGGTTATGATTCATAACATAACCCAATATTTGGGTTTCCGTTTATTAAAATCGTGAACTGGAAAAAAATAGATCCTGAACCGTGAACCGGAGGTTCAAATCGGAACAACTACTAGCAATAGCTTAAATTAGAATTATAATATTTGCAAATAGTGTATGTTTTTTTCTGCATTTATATTGACTCTCACATATAAGTATAAAATCGCGATTTGAGTTTTATTTTGAACTGTCGGTTCACGATTTTGGATCCAATTTGAACGGTTGGTTCAAACTTTCTTTTAAAATTTTATTTTTTATTTTTAAAATATTCTAAATTTAACACTTTTAATGTATTTTATTTTTTCAAATCGTGGTTATAATTTGTTGGAGAAGAAAAATAAATGAAATATTTATTTTAAGGGTAAATATGCCCATTTAATATATCAGGGGGAAAAACTACTACTTAAATAATTTAGGGGGAAAAAGTGCTATAAGTATATAACAAAGGGGGAAAAAATGCCATTTTCCCAAAAAAGAATTTAATTATATAGTGGCATTTTAATTACAAAAATGCCACCGCCTCCCACATTACGCGTCCAAAGTTTAAACTTTGGATGCGAATTATTCGATTTTATTGATGTTTTTTGTACTAGTGTACTTTATTCCTTGTAAATTGTCCATTACAATTTTACTATAAAGTATTATGATATCTCTATCTCTATTATAATAAAGAGAAACTTTAAGAAAATGTAATTAGAAAAAAAATTCCCGCCCAAAAGAGTATCTGACAACTCTCTTGTCCTAAATGGAACCCAAAGTAAGAAGGTGAGGAGGGGGCTTTGCAGGGAGGGAGTGAATTGCATGGCAAGCTACTTGGCTAATAAATGTGGTGGGAATGATGTTTGGTTCTGGAAGGCTGGGAGTTTCCTGTGGGGTTTTTTGCATATGATGGCTCTTGAGGGCCTGCCTGTGTTCTCTTTTTCTCCCAGGGCATGATCTGATTTAAGCAGTAGCAATTGAGCTGCTTTCTTTTATCATTCTGCAGATGATGATGATGATGACTGTTCCCCTTGATCACTCTGTACGGAGTTAAGTTGTTCACACCTAAGGGTAAAGGGTCTAGCTAGGCTGCCATTGCTTAGCTCATGAGGTGAAGTGGTTCCTCTTGTGAAAGTATTTGGTGCCAATAAGGGGAGCCACCTTGTGAGTTGTTAAGAGTGAGGACATAAGTGACCTTCCCGAGTAAAACACAGAGATGGGGTGGGGGCTTGAGGTTCATATGGGGATTAAGTGCTTTAGGGCATTGGTTCCACACAGATGTATGGGGCACGGACCTTCTTATATATGCATGATCGGGATGGGATGTTTGGAAAGGGGTCATTAGTCCGTTGGCGAGGGATAAGAGATTAAGAGATGCACCAAAGGTGAAAAGACCTAAGGGGCAAGTAAATCCATTTGTGGATGAAGACTATGAAGAATGGTGAAGCTATACTTGGGGACGGCCATTTATATCCTGCACTACGGTGCGCGTTGCATTGTGCGCCCAGATGCAAAACGATGTCGTTTTATTTTTTATTTTTTATTTTTTTGAAATTTCGCTTGGCAGTTAATTTTTTTTAAAAAAAATCTCATGTTAAAAAATGTACATAATGTTATACTAGAATACACATAATTGTATACATGAATGTACATAATTATATAACAAAATACACATACTCTTTTTTAAAAGATAATATACATAATCTAACATAATACATAATAACCATAAACTTTTAACATAATACACATCAACTCTTAACATAATACACAAAAATTTCATGATTCGGATGTACATAATTGTATTAAAAAAATGCACATAATTGTATAAAAAATGTACATAATAAAAAATATACATAATTGTATAAACAAATATTCATAATCATGTCAACTTCCTACCGCGCTTCTCAAAATAATGTCATTTTGGAAGGCGCGAAACGCACAGTGCACTAAGTGCCGTGATGCAGGATATAACGTGATGCAGGATATAACGATTGACTTGGGGACTATCATGAGTTGGACCATTGTTGGTTTGGTGTGGATAGGCCTATGGCCCTCATAGAAGCTAGATGGGTGTAAGGCCGAGTGGCCCCTTGATTTTGTATGGCTTGGTTTTGTAAGGCCGAATGACCCATTACTTTTGAGTGGCCACTTTTGGGGCTATGTGAAGTGTGAACCTTTACTTTGGTAATAAAGTTAATAAAGTTTGACAGGTTTGAAAACAAAAAAAAAAAAAAAAAAAAAAAAACCTTAAAAAATTAATTGATTATATTTATACATTATACATAACATATCTGTTATATAATTATATATGTACATAGCTGTACACGCATTACCATATATATATATATATATATATATATATATATATATATATATATAATATATTAAGCATCTACAATACAATTCTAATCAAAGTCAATAATGTTAGGCCCTTAACTGAATAAAAAAAAATGTCGGTGCTAATTGTTTCTTAAAATGAATGGTTGATATTATTTTGATTTTATTATTTTTTTAATGATTTTTCTTATTTACCCTTTATTATATTATTTTCTTCCTTTAAATAACCTTAAATTCAGTTAGTATAAACTTTATTAACGGAATATTCCGTTAACTATTTATTATTCTTTAACTTACTCATTAATTTCTATAAGAATGGTCTTAGGTTCGAATCCCATCCCAATTAGAGTTAGCATAATTGTTAAACATATACCACGAATATGTTAAAATGTATTAAAAAATATAATATAAAATTTAATATAAACTTTGGTCAAATAATTAGCACGACTAAATACATAGTATTCAATAATTATAAATCAGGAACTTTGAAAATCATTTGATTTTCTTTCATTAAAAAAAAAGGAATTTAAGTTAAGTTTTTTTTTTTTTCCCGTTTAATTAATCTTCTTTTGATTATTGATCAAACTTCTCATGAGAATAAAACATAATATTTCAATTATGCTTTTATGAATGCATGAAAACTTTTTTAAAAAATTGTAAGTTAATTTTTACTATATTATTATAACAATATCTATTTTAACCTTATATTTTGAATTATTTATTATTATCCTCTATTGACAGCAATTGTCATTGACAAACTCTCAAAACAATTTGTCTCAATAACGAATGAAAATTAAAAAAAACATTGATTTCATTATTGTGGATGAAAAATATGTATTCTACTTTATTGATCTTATTAAATTAAAAATAAATTAGTAGCTACAACAAAAAATAGTACATATGCATTTTATTTTTTTTTTTGTTTTTGAAGGTCAACCTGGCAGTTGTATTTATAGATAAGCTGAAATAGAGTTTGGTGGGACATTGTCCCAGTACATAGCCGTAGCGAAATCAAAAGCTGTAGTAGCTAGCTAGGGAATGAGCTAATAAATTCTGTAATCTAGGAATAAAAATAACTGAGCAGAAAGTGAAAGCATATATATAGGTTCTGCAACTATCAATAGCATAACCTAGATACGAACGTGATGTGGTAGGTGGTCCAGACAGATAACTTTGAAGCAACTGGCAGTCCGTGTGAATTTGTATAAACTGTTCATCCCGCCTTCTAAGCCAGGATAAGGCTTCCTTGCATGCAAATGCCTCGACCATGAGTGGGGAGAAGCAACCTATTAGTGGGGCACTGAAAGCTGACACATAACGGTCGTCGGCGTCGAGAATAACTGCACCGACTGTAGCCGCATTTGTTCCGTGATGGTAACTGGCATCTATGTAACATTTCCTTGGCCTTGTCATCGCACCACATGGGAGAGGAGGGTGGCTGCGTGGCGGAGTCGGCGGACGCCCGGCGACCGGCATAACAGCAGTGTCGGTTGGCAGAATGGTTCCGGCAGTAGGGGCAGCCACGGCAGCTTCGGAGGTCGGAGTAGTTTGGCGTGCAGCCTGCCGTGTGTGGGTATGGTGATGGACGACTTCCCATGCCTTCACAGTAGCAGCTACAGTCACAAGTAATTTCGTTGGTCTTGGTAGACAGGCATCCCAGACCGTTCCGTTTCAGGCTCTCCATAGATGGTATAATATTGCAGCGGCATAAATAATTCCATTAAAGTCTAGAACATTCAAGATTGCACTAAACCAACCATTCATGGAAAACATTTGTGATAATATTGGGGAGTGGAAAGTTGGATTGAGTCCATATGGACTTTGCATAGTCACACAAAACTAATGCATGCATGGTGCCCTCATTCATCATTCACACATGGCACACAGCGGACTAACATCCACCCTCTTTATAAGTAAATTGTCGGTAGTAGGAAGGATATCGCAAATAGCTCTCCATAGGAATGTCTTCCACTTGGGTGGGATTTTTAACTTCCATAGGGTAAGCCATTTATCAAATGCTCCATTAGAATTATCCTCATAATTACCCACTATACGCCTGTACCCATTTTTGACCGAATAACATCCGTTAGGATCTTCATACCAATACCATATATCATCATACTCAGGGGCAACATGTATCATTTGGATTCTAGGTATATCACTTGGTTGAAAAATATTAGCTAGAATATGCGGATCCCAAGTACCCGTATCCTGGTCAATTAATCCCACCACTTTGGCTCCAAATAGATGTTGTGGCATTTGCGTGTGAACCATAGGATCCAGTTCATCCTGCAGCCATGGATGTTCCCATATTAAGGTAGATTTCCCGTCCCCAATTCGTCTCCTTATACCACCGCATATAAGATCTTTAGCCGCCATAATACTGCGCCAACTAAAACTTGGTTTATTTCCTATATTTGCCTCCAAGAAGGTATCTTTAGGATAATACCTGGCCTTATAAACCCAAGCCACCAATGAGTCAGTGTTAGTGAGCAATCTCCACGCCTGCTTTCCTAAAATTGCCAAATTGAATGCTCTCAAATCTTTGAATCCCAGGCCACCATGCTCTTTTGAGATACATAACTTATCCCAAGCTTTCCAGTGAATGCCTCGGTCAGTACCCGTTCCCCACCAATACCGATTCATAGCTCGCTCAATAGCTGTACAAACAGATATGGGTAGCAAAAAAACACTCATTGAAAAGGTCGGCATTACTTGAGCCACACTTTTCAACAAAATTTCTTTACCAGCCTGTGATAATAATTTCTTGTGCCAAGAACCAATCCTATGTCTGATCTTATCCTCAATATATGCAAATGCAGCCTTCTTATTCCTTCCCACAAAGGAGGGCAGACCTAGGTATTTCCCAAAATTGGGAGCCTGGGTTACACCTAGGATTTGTGCCACCATATCCTTATCATACTGCCTTGTATTCCTACTGTAGCATACACAGGATTTATGATAGTTGACTTTCTGACCAGATAAACTCTCATATAGCGACAAACAATTATTTATCTCAGATGCTTCCTGCATATTTGCTTTGAAAAACAGTAGGCTATCATCCGCAAAAAATAAATGAGAAATAGGAGGTGCACCTCTAGCAACCCTGCAACCATGTAATAATCCCCTATCCTGAGCCCGTTGTAATAAAACTGAAAGTCTTTCTGCACAAATAATGAATAGATAAGGGGATAACAGATCTCCCTGTCGGAGGCCACGAGTGGGTGTGATCGAGGTACTTCGGGAGCCATTTATCATAAAAGTATATGACACTGTAGTCACACACAACATAATCAATTCAATCCACCTGTCATCAAAACCCAGGGCCAGTAGCATCCCACGGGGGAAAGGCCATTCCATACGGTCATAGGCTTTGGCCATATCCAGTTTGAGCGCTCCCCACCCTACAGTCCCACACTGCTTTCTATTCAAGTAATGGCCCACTTCTGCTGCTATAAGAATATTATCAGTAATCAATCTGTTCGGTATAAATGCACTTTGTGAGTTCCATTAAAGGCTTCATTCTTTGTGTAATCATTTTGGACATTATTCTGTAGATCACATTGCTCAACGCTATTGGCCGAAAATCTGCAACCACCTCAGGGATTTTCTTCTTTGGGATGAGCACAACATCCGTATTATTTAGCTCAGAGGGGAATATCCGATTATTAAGACAACTGAGTATAAATGTCAAAATATCATCACCAACTACATCCCAGAAATGCTGGTAGAAACCTGGGTTCATACCATCCGAGCCAGGTGCTTTGTCCGGGGCCATCGCAAAAGAACACCCCTAACCTCAGTCACTTCAAAGGGGCGTAATAATAACTCATTTTGAGCCTGGGTAACACGTGGGGATACCTCCGCAAATAAATTGCTACCATCCATAGGGTTACTAGAGGAGAAGATATAGCTAAAATATTCCAAGATAATCGTATTCATAGCATTTCCTTCCATCCAATCCCCATTATCATTCATAAGCTTATAAATAGTATTTTTCTTTTTACGGTGAGAGGCATACCTGTGGTAGAATTTCGTATTGGTATCCGCATTCTTGAGTCAGTGTTGTTTGGCTCTCTGTCTCTAGTAAGTATCTTATTGGATTTACATATTGCTTAGAATTTTCTCCAGCCGGCTGGAACTCAGCTAGGGATGTAGGATCAATGCGTCCCCTAAGATGTAATTGTTCCTTACGCAGGTGCATAATCTTTTCACCGAACTTATGATACCGGTCACCACCCCATCGGGATAATTGACTCCCACAGTATGCTATGCAGTCTTGGATTCCTTCGTTCCTCCCTTCCTCCCATGATCTCTCCACCACACCCCTGCACCCTTCATCATACACCCAAGCCATTTCGAACTGAAATCCTCTCCTTCCTCCTCCCCCATTCTGAAACATCTCATGGATACTCAAGAAAAGCGCAGAATGATCTGATTTCCTCATCAGTGTATTAGTAACTCTGGCCCCTAGCACAATTTCGCGCCAAACATTAGAAGCTAGCACTTTGTCCAACTTCTCCTCAATGCATGCAGGCGTACCTTTCCCCTTCTCCCAAGTAAACTGATAACCCTCCATAGGCAACTGAGCTAAGCCACACTGTTCAATAGTCCCCCCAAAGCCGCGTAGGAGATTATCTGGATGTGGGTTACCACCCCTCTTCTCGTACTGAAACAGGAGATCATTAAAGTCCCCAATCATAACCCATGGAAGAGTGGAACGTGGTGCAAAAGACTTTAATAAATCCCATGCTTCTGACCGTCTATGGCGCTGAGGATAGCCATAATAGCACGTCATTCGCCACTTTGGAAAGCTGGACATATTTACTTCAATATCAATATGATTCTTTGAGTAGCTCAAAAGACTTGCCGTATTATTCTTTCGCCAAAGCAGCGCAAAACCACCACCCAACCGAGTCGGATCAACATAAAAAAAAAACCATCGAAGCCAAGATTGACGCGAAGTCGTTCAGCATGTATTCGCCCCACCTTGGTTTCCATGAGAAAAATAAAATCAGGCTTCTTACGCGACGCAAGGTCCGTTAATTCTCGAACTGTTCGTGGATGGCCCAAGCCACGATAGTTCCAACTGATAGTACTCATAATGATGGGCGGGTCTGGGAACCAGAACCCGCCACAAACAAGTTTTTTTGGATCTCTGTCATAACAATATCACTGCCAACATTTGCATTGCCCCTAGTGCCCACATTCACTTCACCTCTTCTTCTCTTGGACGCTGCCATGACTGTCACATTCTCCCCATGGGCAAACCCAGTTACTGCCTCCCCACGGCATATCTCATCAGCTCGCAAACCAGGCGCTATACCCGAGAGGGTTTCCACCATGGGGTTACTGTTTTTGTCAAGGAGCCATGAAGCTCCCACCTTGCGTGGACCCTTTCTCAATCCAGCGCGTAAACTTTCACCATATGGATATTGATCCATCGGTATGCCCGCATCTCGTGCCTTCAAACAATACTTGTGCAAATGCCCCATCAGACCACAGAAATAACAAAAGTTGTGCAATCTTTCGTACCTGAAATTAACCCAGCAAGTCGACTTATCTCTTTTTAGAAGCTTCATGCGCCGTTTTAGCGGTTTTATGACAGATATTGAAACCCTAATTCGGTAGAACGTTTTCCATGGTGCATCCGAGAACCTATCATCAACCTTTATAAATGTTCCCATAAAATTTCCAACTTGTTCCAGAATAAGATCAGATGTATAACTAAGCGGCAAGTCATGCACTTGTACCCACATGTCAACAGAGTCCAACGGTATCGTGACTGGAATAACTCCATCCTCAATCCGTTTGCAGACAAAAGTATGGTTCTCAAAGGACCATGGACCACCCTCAAGAACCAAACAAATATCCATCTCATGATAGAACACAAAGAGAAAAAACCCTGGTTGTAACTCCGAGACCTGAACCCCCTTGACCGGCTGCCATACCGAAGCCATAACTTGGCTCATAAACTCCATCTTGACAAGTTTGGTGGTTAGGAATTTACCAACGAGGCGCCATGTTCGTGCTGTCGCCGGAGGCTGCTCGTCGCTTCCCGCCTCAACAGGTTCGAAAACAGCATCCTCTTCGTCCTCTAGCACGACGTCCGCCCAACGTCTACTCAGTGTAGCCACTGCCTCAGATGTCGCTGCTGGCTCCATGCGATCGGAGGGATGGTTAAGGATGGCCGGCGCAATACCGGAGAGAGATGACAAGAAACGTCCGGAAAAACCTTGAGCAACAAGGAAGGAGAGAAAACCCTAGAGAAACCCTAGAGAGAGGAGTTCTTTATGATGCCTCTATTTAAAAAGAATTATTCATTATAAAATTTTTAAAAAGAGATATAATTTCATTGGTTATATTATCTTTATCTTCTACAATTCAAAGATTCCTTACCTTCAAATTTATTAATTTATTATATTCACTACATTGTCTATTGTATTCTTTTTACATTATTTTATAATTAAATATCAAAGTTATAATACAAAATATGTTGGCCCTGTTTGGTAAAATGGCTGTTAGCTGATAGCTGTTTGTTGTTAGCTGATAGCTGTTTGTTGTTAGCTGATTATGTTAATTAGAGGGTATAAATAGTTGATAACATTAGCTGATTGTAGAAAAGTGTTTGGTAAATTAGCTGTTAGCTGATAGCTGTTTGGTATAATTTCTTTTCTCAAAAAGCTAATTGAAAAGTTGCGTGGAGTAGATTTTTGAATTTTAGACTTTCGAAATTGCAAAAAGCTAATTAACCAAACATTTATATTGATATTTTAACTAAATCAAACAATTAATAGTGGTCAAATAAGCCAAAATTGACCTATAGGCCAATTTTTTTACCAAACAGGGCCATTATATATATTTACCAAGTATTTTATACAAATATAATAAATATTAATATTTTATTCAATACTTTCACATGATAACCTACGACACACGTCTCACAACACAGGAAACATGTAGGGAAAACTACCACTACCAAATATCAACATGTGCTTGTAAGATAAAGAGTTCATAGCACAACTAAGATCTCAGTCATATACACAACTATGCAAATCTAAAGCTTCCTACACCATAATAATCTCATTGCATGATGAATCCCTCTATGCTACCACCAATAACACAATTGCACATGACACACTACCAATAAAAAAAAAAAAAGGACATTGTTAGGAATATATTGTAAATTTTGATGAGCCGAATGTATTTTTGAAAAATCAAGTAGTCCCCATTTTTGTTCTATTTGAGTCAGTTTGAGTCTACGGAGTATGGTGCACCCATATCATGCAACCCATGTACAAGTCTGGAAAATCACAAGTTGATTTTAGATGTTAAGCGGGATTATAGCTTAACAGAATTATGATGCGAATAAGTCACCAAGAACCATGTTAGAGGAGTTGGAAGAAACGTGTGTGAGCTATGCCAAGTGATCTTAAGTTCAAATCTCAAATGAAGTATTTTTAACTTGCTTGGGAGACTAGCTTGGACCGTATGGGAGACTAGCTTGGACCGTATAGGAGACTAGCTAACATAGAGACTAAGTAAGGAGAATGCACAAGTCTCACAAGAGCCATGCACCAGATGAAGAAACACACCAAGTATGGTGGACCAAGCTTAAAATCGAAACAGAGCATCTCACCATGGACAACTATGAAGTTTTTACAGAGGTTTCAGTATATCATTTTACAAGGATCATGAAGGAGAAAATATCTGATATATTTTCATCTGAACATCAAGTTTTTACGGTGGAACCGGAGACCCTTGAAGAAGGCTGATTCGCGGAGAAATTGCTCTATACTCAAGCAAGAATCAGCAGATAAATTATTTGATCAACTTGACATGCCAGAGCATTTATGAAGGACAAGAAATATCAAGTTTGCCGCGCCGAACTTATTCAAATTTTGGAGGCTACAAAATTCAAGACACGGCAACGGGCAAATTATTCAAATCATCTGACAAAAGGAGAAATGACATCTACCTAATATTTCAGATCAAGTTGACAATATTATTTGATCAACTACAATTCAAAATGGACGATCGAGATCGAAAGTTTATCAACGGGCAAATAGCTTTCACTGGCTATAAATTGTCCAAGCAGACTTGAAGACAAGCACGACTTGAACACGGCTGAAAAATTGAGATATACAAGCAAGAGAAAAGCAAGCAATATTCATATCAGCCAAAAAGCAATATATTGAGCTATACACGATTAAATTCAAGTCTGAGTGAGAGAAAATTTTTATCTCTTTGTAGATTTCTCTACTGAGTGTAGAAAGAGGGCGGAGTAACTAGAGAGAGTGAAAAACCCTGGTTGAGTGTAGCTTTGTGCGTAGCACTCGGTGTAAAGGGCAGAGTAACAAGAGGAGCTTGTGAAAACCCTGTGAGGACGTAGCTTTGTGCGTAGTTCTCGTGGTGTAGGAGTACAGCTTGGTGCGAAGTACTCGGGAAGGCGAAGTAACAAGAGGAGCTTGCGAAAAACCTTGGAGGAGTGTAGCTTTGTGCGAAGCACTCGGAGAAGTGTCGGTGGACACTTATTCACTATTGTATCTGGGTGATCGAAGAATAGTGAATTTCCTCCTTGAAGTGAAAGGAGAAGAGTGGACTAGGAGGATTACACCACCTCTGAACCACTATAAATCTCTCTCTCTATTTACTTACTACTCATATATTTTGTGCATGCTTATTCTAAACTGAGAACTAACCCGATTACGATTTATCGCATATCTTTATCTGTCTGGGTTTGATAGTTCCCACGTATGCATGCAAGCCAAATTTTACGTACATCATCTTTGAACCATATGAAGTGTTTCTAACGTGTTGCATGTTAAGAATCTCTCTTTGAGCACCGCACTATTAAGCATAACACTTTACCGCTACTTATTCCGCTGCACATGCACTCTAAGTTGTTTATCTTGTTGATGCTTGTTACTTAGAGTTGAAATTACCAAAGTGTTATTTGCCTTGTGTGTTTTTCAAAGAATGTTAAAAAGTTAGAGAAGTCTATTCCCCCCCCCCCCCCTCTAGACTTCTCGCCACCCTTTCGGGACCAACAGACATGTACAGTGACAATGCTACCCCAAAGAGAATTAGAAGATAGGTGTACGGAATCTTCCAAGGATCACTTAGTACGGTATTGAGCGTACTAGAAGATAGTTAGAACATAATAAATTGTATAATAATTTGTATAAATTGTATTGTACATCAACTACTAACGTTGTTTACCATGAAGTGTTTAATAATGTGTACTATTCTATTTGTACATAATATTCAATAACAAGATTTTTTTTTAATATAATTGTGTGATTAAAGGAATGTGCGAATGTATATTCTCTCTATTTCAGTGTGTAAGTACAGAAGATGAAAGATCTATATATACAAGCTAAGGAAAGACTAAAGCCATTAGATTCAAAATTCAAACCCCAAGGTTGAGAGTGATTCTCTCAACCACAACCTAACTTCTCTAACACTCCCCCTCAAGCTGGAGCATAAATATCAAACATGCCCAGCTTGTTACATATATACGACATCCGACTTCCGCTCAACCCTTTCGTGAATATGTCAGCTAATTGATCACCACTACGAACATGCTCAGCCGAAATCAACCCTTGTTGCACTTTCTCTCGTATAAAGTGACAATCCACCTCAATGTGTTTCGTCCGCTTGTGGAAAACTGGATTATTCGTAATGTGAATGGCCGCACGATTGTCACACCACAGCTTCACAGGAAGTTTTACTTCTACACCCATCTCTTTTAGAATGTTATGCACCCAAACTATCTCACTGGTCACATGAGCCATAGCTCTATACTCGGACTCTGCACTTGACCGCGCCACAACACTTTGCTTCTTACTCTTCCATGAAACTAAATTGCCTCCCAAAAACACACAATATCCTGTCATCGACTTCCTGTCACTAGGCGAGCCAGCCCAATCCGCATCGGAGAACGCCTCAACACCTGTATGTCCATAATCAGCATAAAGGACCCCCTTCCCAGGTGCACTCTTCAGATATCTCACAATACGAACAGCTGCTTCCCAACGAGTTCGTGTAGGTGAACTCATGAACTGACTCACCACACTCACCGAAAATGCAATATCCGGACGAGTAATCGTGAGGTAGTTTAGCTTCCCTACCAGTCTCCTATACCTTTCTGGATCCTCAAACACCTCCCCCTCATCTGGTACAAGCTTGACCCCTTGTTCCATCGGCGTATCACACGGTTTCGACCCAAGCAGTCCAGTATCACCAAGAAGGTCCATCACATATTTTCTCTGTGAGAGAAATATGCCCTTCTTTGAGCGAGCAACCTCAATCCCCAGAAAGTATTTTAGTATTCCCAAGTCTTTAGTATGAAACTCAGCTCCAAGGAAGGACTTAAGAGCACCAACCCCGTCTACATCACTACCTGTGACCACAATGTCATCCACGTACACTATCAGTAAAACACACCCACGGTTAGTATGTTTATAAAAGACAGTATGATCATAAGCACTCCTCTGCATTCCAAATTTCATAATCGCACTGCTAAACCTCCCGAACCACGCACGCGGGGACTGCCTCAGACCGTACAAAGATTTCTTTAACTTGCACACCTTCCCAGACTCCCCCTGAGCTACAAACCCTGGTGGTTGCTCCATATAAACTTCTTCAAGTAAATCACCATGCAAAAAGGCATTTTTGACATCTAATTGATATAACGGCCAGTGATTAGTAGCAGCCAAAGATATAAAAACACGTACCGAAGCCAACTTAGCCACCGGGGAGAAAGTCTCGGTATAATCTATACCATACGTCTGTGCATACCCCTTAGCCACTAAGCGCGCTTTGAGTCTAGCAACAGAACCATCAGGTTTCATCTTCACTACATAAACCCATTTACACCCAATAGCTACCTTACCGAATGGAAGATCCATCAAATCCCAGGTTTGGTTCTCTTCAAGAGCAGCCATCTCTTCCCCCATAGCCTGTCTCCAACCATCATGACCCATAGCTTGTTTCAAAGATGTTGGCACTTTAACTGACTCTAACTGAGATATAAAGACACGTGAAGAGGGGGATAAATGGACATATGACACAACTGAAGAGATGGGATGAACACAACGACGCGTACCTTTACGAACAGCAATTGGAAGATCGGAATCTGTTGACGATGACGCTGGCGAGG